CGAGCTATTGAATGTTTTAACCACGCTGGAAGGTGTTCGTAAGTATGTGAAAGTAATTTTGTAGATCATCTGTCGATGTAACCAGCCCTACATAATCAGTTGGATTGATAGATACAAAAGGAACCTCATGTTTTTTCTAGATAATTACTTGTTTATAAACTTCACAGGGAACCTGTTTTCCCTTAACGTATTACATAAAGCATTTGTTTCCTCATCAATCGTATCTAAAGAGTATATGGCTACCGTCCCATTATGAAAGTTTTCACTAGGTTTCTTATACTGTAGCAGAACGAAACTAGAGAAGTTTATGTATTTTACTTGTTAAGTAGCCTTTTGAGTTCCTTCCGAGTGATCTGTCAACGCTCCTAGTAAGTATTGCATTTAGAAATGCTATTTTGTCTTGATATTCTTCCTCGCAGGTGAATTTAGTAGATAGATAGATTTCGTTAAACAGTCTCTAACAATCAATGTGTCTTTTGAAAAAGGAAAGTCCGACATTCATAGTTCGTCAGTAAAATGAGAACTTTTCAATGTTATACAAGTAATTCGTCTTCTAGATTAGCTAGAAAGTTATCGGCCAACATAAGATCTCAGTGGAGAACCACATATGGTGAACCTATCAGAAGTATCCAAGTCAGAAGGTCACATGATTGCAATCTGAAATGACCTGAAGGACAAATGCATACCGTTGGTTAAAAGATGGATTGGTTTTCCAAGGGGTAAAGATGTTTATGTATAAATGAGTATTTGTGCATATTATTCGGCAGTCAATTTACTTTCTCGTCCTCTTTTGTGTTCTCGCTCAAGTAGTCAGGTGGGTGTTAGAGTGTAGCACATTGTGTATCGATGTCAGATCTCGAACACCACCCATCGTAACAGAACCCACCGCTATCCCATTACCTTATCTGTATATTTCCCTATCAGAGATGGAATTCACACTCTATAACTTTTGATTGTAATTCTTTAAAAACGTCTACTTGGATCGCAATGTCTTTCGTTTTACAATATTTGTTCGTATCTGACTGACTCTCCGTATGTTTAACATGTGCAAAAACTATTTTCAGATCTGAGGATAACGTAGTATGTTCTCAAATGTTTATATCTTTGATCCAGCCTGAGAAATGAAATATACCTTTAACATAACATCAGATAAAGTCGCCCTCACCCCATCTTCGTTTGCATGAATGCTAATTAACTGTCAACCACCACAACGTATCGTGAACGTAGAAAATTATAAACATATATTCGACCGGAAAAATCTTGGACAGAAAAAAATAAAATGAAGTTTCATTTGGTAAGTGGTCTATTTTTTCTATGGTTTCTGCTGCGCTCTTAATAAGAAGCACTCCAACGATGTGTGTGTAGGTACGGTTTACTAGCGTTTACACTCTACCGAGAACAATGGCTTTGTTTTCACGAACTAATTATGGAGTTTGCTGAGATCGTACTTAGGTATCTTTGAAACACTAACAGGGTTCAATGAACCGAATGGTTAATCTTCAATCAAGAGGTTGTTTTGTGGAGGTGATGGTACAAACATTTTTCTTCACTGTAGTATGGCAATAATATGTCTAATGATATAATAATGCATTTATGTATGCGACCGAAAAAACATAATCACTTCAAAATGTTAACTTGTAGGTTATAGACTAAGGTTAATCATAAATGCAGATGAATGTGAACAGTTTCAAGTTATTTCCATTTATTCGGTTCGGAGAACATAATACTGAAATATAATTGAATTCAAGGAAACTTTAATTAATACATACGATTGCCGTTTACTTCTGTGGCAATGTTTGTAGGGTTTGCCAGTGAGCGACTAACGTTTATCCAAATTCAAAATGAATGTGAAATATCTCTCGGGTACTTAAAAAAGCCCTAGGTGTCATTTATTCGTGAGCATCTATCAGGAAAAATGAACACACTTCCAGCAGTAAGGTTTGGTTTCTCTCCTAATTTTTAGCCACTTTCAATTTTTTCAATGTGGATATTGATAGGAACGGTTTAGCTAACTTGGCTACAGTAATGGTGACTACGTTCTTGAAATTATAAACGTACTTTGTCGAACTACTTACAAGTAGTAAGCTTGTTTTCCAGAGATTATTCGGAGTTTCAACAATGACATGTATTCTAATTCGTATTTTTTGTTACTTTTACGATGCTCGAATGATCATGGCATCTTTAACGAAGTTATTCGGCAAACTTTTTCTGTTAAAAAGGGATTTAGTACTCACCAAATGAATGTTTACTTTTAAAGGTAAGTAATACCGATATACTACAGACAGTAGTCACTCATTTAACATGGGTTTGTACTAATAAGCTAGTTTTGTATAATTAAAAATAAGGCGGTGTGCTCATATCTTTAAACTAGCTGGTACTTACACAAACAAGGTAATATTTCCGAGCGGTTGACTTGACTATTATAGTGAAAGATTAACAGCCTTCTCTCTTCTTCACTAAGTCCCAGATAGAGACTTACTCCTGTTATCCCTCGTAGAGGATCATAGACCGCTCACTAACACTCTCCATCCAAGCCGGTCCCGTGCAATCCTTCCCAGTCGCTATTCATTCTTTTGATGTCTGATTCCAATTCACAAAGCAACGTGTTCTTGGGTCTTCCTCTTCTCAATTTCCCTACACGAATCCAAGTTAGTGATTGCCTCGTGATTCAGTTCGGTTATTTCAGCAATGTATGTCCTATCCACCTCCAACTTATTTTCCATATTTACTATTCAGACGAAAGCTGGTTTGTTCTCTCCCACATTAGTCTGCTACTGATGGCATCGGGCCAACGGACACTGAGTATCTTGCGTAGATTATTGTTTATAAATACTTGTACTATTTTGATGATGGCTGTAGTAGTTCTCTAAGTTTCACATCTGTACAGTAGTACTGTCTTGACGTCCATTTTGAAAATTCTGACTTTGATATTGGCTTGCATACAATTATTTTGAGTTCCGTATATTCTCCAGCTGTAGGAATGCTGTAATCTTTTTTCCAATCATTGCCTTTACGTCTGCATCAGATCATCCTTGTTCATCGATGATGCTGTCCAAGTACGTGAAAGTTTCCAGGGTTTCTCCATCAAGTGTGATTGGTTTGGTTGGTGTTCACTCTGTTGTATTTCAGAATCTTGATTTTTCCCTTGTGTATATTGAGGCCTACTACTTCAGAGGCTCCTGATACACTTGCTGTTTTATTCTGCATTTGTTGGTGTATGTGAGATAGAAGAGCTAGATCATCTTCGAAATCCGAATTGTGTCTCTGGATGCTAGCTGTATATTCTATTCCGTACTGCCCCTGAGATGTGGAGGTCTTCGTAATCCAGGCGGCTACCAGAAGAAAGATAAAGGATAAGAGTGACCAGCTTTGTCTGATTTCGGCCTTGGAATATATATATATATATATATATATATATATATATATAAATTTGTAGTGGGTTTGTCTACTAATATCTAAGTGGTAGACAAATCCATCATTGAAATATTATACATATATATTGCGCGAAGTAATATAAGCTAGTCAGTGGATATTTAGTAGAGTTATAAGCAGGGAAAACAGATAACACAAAGTAAAGATAATCACTAGGTAAAATGAATGATTTATACTTTTAATTGCTACGTTTTCGAAACAAGCTAATAATGAAAAATAGATTATCTCCAATAGTTACCTATTATGAATTACCTTAAAATATAACAATTTAAATTAGTCAACCACAACTTAGTGTAATACAAGAAAGTTTATCTAAAATTTACATGCTTTTAATTGCACATTGCCTGCTAGTTACTAGTTAACTCATGGTTTTTCACATGGTTCAATAGACAATCACTGTTGATTTCCTTATTGATATGTGTGCATCAATGTGTTCTCAGCATTTCACTAATTTTGTTAAGTGCTGATAATAACCATGAGTTAAGTTAATAAAATTCTGGCACTAATTGTGTAATATTTACTTTTATTTGAATCAAATCAGCAACATCAGTACATGCTATTTTCAGCAATCACAAAATTGATATTAAAAATATCAAAATAATTCAGAAAACTTTTCCAACTATAAAGGGAAGCGAGTAGCCGAAGCGTTTCACATAAAGCTAAATCCTTCTGCCTTCAATGAGAAAGAAGGCCTGGCTATCCATTCAACTTGGACTGTTTATCCAAAAAGCACACTCGACCGTATTTATTTTTCACAAAGTCTGCACACACACCTAGTTTCATTCCCATCACTTCATGCATACATTTTTTATGCCCACCTTGTGACATAGTGGTGGTATGGTGGTATGTCTTACAAAATCACCTTGACCAAAAACGTAACTTGAGATTGACATGTTTAGACCTATTATGATTTTGATTATACTAAATATGTATTACTTTGTTTGTTATGTAATTGTGTTAATTTTATTTCGGTTATTCATTTACTCCAAGGAAGTGACTTACATAAAGTCACGAAACGTCAGAAATACAATTTTCTATTCATTGAGTTATCACAAAAAAAATATATTTATCATCAACTTTCTATTCAATCCTCAATTTACTTGGAACTATCAAGTTCAACTTTGGCACTGATACCTATACTCTTTGACATTAGTTATTAGTTGGAAAGCCCTACATTTCTTATTTGTTTGAATATGAGCTGTAAGCTATTTGAACCATGTAATTACATTAGTATGTATATCTTTAAATATATCTAGTTCACTTTGCATGTAAATTATTCTTTCTTCATTATGGGCTTCTGTGAACAGTTAGTTGCACTTTTTGACAACAAAAAAGAACGTTTTAAATCCTGTAACTGTAAGAATTAAGAATCAGTTTGAACATGTGACTTTCGATAAGTTTTATCCAAATAAGTCTGTTAAACAGAATGATAGATGAATCGTCTGTTTGTAGCTGGAGATATATTTTTTAATATAGTATAAATCAAGATGGTATTTTATCCCATAGATTTATTATGTGAATTTTAAAACGGCAGAATATTCATGGAGATTAACACTGAGGTAGAATAAGAATTATTTTGGTGTGTAGATATGTTTTGTAAAATAACACGAAGTTCATCAGCAAGTGACTGAAGCGGTAGTTTATAAGTTATTTTCCTAAATTCTCTTTTAGAATACAGTATTGTAAATAGTAACTTAACATTTGTTCAGTGGGACTTTGGAAAATGCGAATATTCAATCTCCTGGTTATTATTAGTATTAATCATGTCAATAATAAAATTAGACAAATTATGGGATGTCAATTGTTTCATTATTATTTATATCAAACAATAAATACCCAGAGAATGTTGAATACATATAACCATGTAGAAAATAAGCTCCATCACGTATGGCCAACCATGCACGATCACCTTTATACATTTGTAGAATCCCTTGATTTGTAGCTGTTGCCCATGGAGAGCTTTCAGACCAAACATCAAATATTTGCTTTTCGTTGTGCATTAGACGTACAACCGCCTAAATTATAGATATTCATTTTATTTTTCCATAAAAAAGAAATATAAATTATCGGTTAATTATTATGAGCAATGGTGTTTTTAATTTTAAACAGACAAACATTTGAATACTACATATTTTCTATGAGTTAATTAAGAATTTAGCATGACGAAAGTGACCCATTATATCACTAAAGAAAAATTAAAGACGATTCAGAGGAGAAAACTTTCTTTTTATTGATAGCATTTACTCTAGTTACACAATCATGTTTATTGTCAATATACAAATAAACAGATATACATTGCATAAGTCATTAATATACGTGGTTTTAATATTGAACTCTTGATGGTTTTACATTCGCCTTCAAAAAACCATTCAGGTTAATGTTTAAAGATTAGTTTTAAATTCACTCAAATCGTGCGACCAATGGACTTGTTTCATAAGGGTAAGTGAACGTTTAAATACACATTGATGTAGCCCAATGAGAGAATTCGTCTTTGACAAATTCACGAATGATGGAGCGGCTGGGAAGGACGGTGCGAAGCCTAATGGCATAAAAAGTTTTTCTTTGAAATTTCGCTAGACGATCTATCAAAATTTCCGCAGCAGTGTCTCCCTTGAACTCAATGTTCATAAAGAAAGTTTTCTTGGAAACTGTAGGAGTTCTTACAGACTGTGGTTTAAATCTTATTCGTCTTTCAATAAACCTAGACGGATAGGCATTTTTGATAAATATTTGTTAAAGCTTGGATAGTTTCTCATCTAACGTGTCTTCGGATCATATTTGCATAGCCCTGGGTGATTAAAATTGGCGGCCTGCTTAAACATCTATGCTATCCGTTCCTGCCATCTAGATATTTCAACAAGTTATCCAATTTTGTTTGTTTTAATACATTATTATGGCTATTATTCTCCTAACCTATTCAGGTGCGTTTCTGAAAAGTGTACAACCTTTCTTTGTACAAGTTAAAAAAACAATCAGAGATATCGTGGTTGCAGGCAATATGTAACGTGAATAATGTACATTATCTAGATGTCAATTGACTGGACTGCTAACTTCTAACTGCCTATCACTCAACATTTATCGTGAGGATCGACCAAGAAGTAAGAAACGGAAACTTGTTGTAATACTTTGTGCTGAGAATTCTATATTGTACCGAAAATATTATAGTGAATAAAACTAATAATAATAATCAGGTTTCTGTAACTGTTTAATGGAACCCATCTATGAAAACTCGTTTATTATTTACTCCAAGTTGGTTTTAGTATAATGATTTTCGCAATGTACTGTCTGGTCTTCTTCTTGTACGAAATTAAGGAAATGTGATTCCGAAAATTAACATGATTAAAAAACATTTCATGAAACCTAGAAACTAGATCCTTAGTTCACTTTCCATTATCAGTACTAAAATCAGTATCCTAAATTTTATCTCCAGTCACATTATCATGAGGAGAATTCGCTATCCCCGTAACTATCAACCTATACAACGAAATAACTGATTACATCAGCTTGATAAGTCACCAGAGAAAGATTATTAACAGCGAAAGTTTGAATTAACCAGGCGAACCATGATGAGCTTAACTATAGTTAGTCAAGTTATCCATTTAGCCTATGTTAATTTCCATTTCATATGCAATAAGTTGAAATAGTCTACTTGGTTACCACCTTAGTGAAACGATTTTTATTCATAATATTTATGTTCAAATATCTTTAGTTGATTGAAGCAACCACCACTACTACCACAACTCATATCACTAATGTTTATATAACAAAACCTGACTCATGCGTTCTCACCGTGCCTCCTTGATAGTGTGATTTAGTCCCATGAACTAACGTGAGCAGTAAAACCGGGTAGTAGAGACCGGGCTAATCACCCACTATACCGATACCCACAAATGATTACGAATGCTACAAAAAAAATTGTGCAATTTTTACTGGAGTAAAAACGACAAGATCTAAGAAAAATATATATATGCAAAAACAGCTATTTCGCTCTGGTAGTTGTGCCGTGCTTCGATGTAGCTGCTTCTCCAGAAGGGCCTACTAGGCCTCACCAAATTGTTTTGGCTGGAAGGAGGGGAGGGGAGAACAATCATAGGTGTTGTATGTTCTTTTTACAGAAAAATATTTTAAATTATTTCTAGTATTCTAATCACTAACAATGAAATTGAAATTCGAATATTCAAATTGAACAAAAATAAAATTCATTATTATTTTTTAATTTGTTCATAATAATGCGCTGTAAAAATTATAACTTTCAAATGGTCATAAAAAAACCACATTACATTCATTTCAACCAGTAACACTGGTAACGGTTTTAGAAGAGAAGGAATAAGTAAAGGGTATAATTATACATCATTAGTTTACTCATAAGAATTTTCTCTCATTCAGTTCTTATATTCGGTATAATGTGGTTTTTTCTTTTATGACAAAGTATTATACATTTATTTGGTTTTATTTTTAATCTGAGTAAATTTCTGGTTAGGATCTCTGTTAGGTTTTGTTTGAAAAGTATCAAAACAAACTTATATGGTGATACTGTTAAAGCTAGAAGTAAATTATCAAGCCGATGAATAAACAGCTCTCACTCTGTATATTCATCCATAAAATTATTACGTAAGTTTTTTTAGTGTTATCTAAATACCCATTCAAAACTGTGTTGATGACATTTTACAACCTATATCATTCCAGTAAATTCCACGTTTATTGGTGTCTAAAGGTAGGTGGTATCTTCAACAAGCCATTATTCTACGTTTTACGATTCACGTTCTGACATATATCTGCTATCTGAACGAAACTCATATTACCTCAAGAATAAAATACTCGTTATTCAAAATAACAGTCCGAATCGCTGGTATTGTAGTATTTCAATCACTATTGACCTGTCGTGACAATAATTCATATGTAATAATCGATCCGTGGATATTGGGTAACTGTATGTGTGATTCTTACTGCCACACATGTGTTAACTCTACATTCGTGATCTTTATCAAGTTCAATGCCATTAACAAACTAGACCTTTTTTAAACAAATAAATAAAAAATCAGGAGTACAGTATTCACTTACTCTTGATTTCCCTTGAGCTGAAATGGCTAGAAATAAAATATAAATACCATTTACTGGTGCAATAAATTCCCCAGTTATTGGATTGTATGCATTGCCCAAATTCGTAATAACTTTGTTCATTATCAATTTAGGATTTTCGTCCAATGGTTTTTCAACAACATTGAATTCGAGACCGGCAAAAAATGCTATTCTATTCTGTACTGTCTGTAGCTGATTATTCAATCTACTCAGCTGTAATTTAGTTAAGTTGATATCTGTAAATAAAAAGAAAATGATAAGGGACAAACACAACAAAGTGATATAATCGATGAGGTGAATATAATGTTTGGTCCTGTACATAGAATCAGAATCTTAAATTTATTCACAGGTTATTTTAACAACAACTAACTAGAATTAAATAACGTTTTGCTTAGAACAACATATAACGACAGCAAATGGCAAGACGTTTTTATTATCTCAGAAAGTAGTTACAATGTTTAAGATACAATAGTTAAAACGTCTAGAGCGAAAAGCTGATTTCAATCGTTTAGATTTTGACACGATAGTTTTAAGCTATACATTTTACTGAATGTGAAACTAATCCTTCAAATGCTTACTACCAAATAGCCTTGTGGTTACTGGAACTAATAACTATAATAACAGTCAGTGAGTTGTTTTAGATGTTGTAAGCCGTTTTTAATTCAGTTTCTTTTGAGATATGTAAAGACTCTCAGTTATTCTTAAGGACTCACTTCACATTAGTAACACAAAGTTGGATACTAAAATGTAGAGCATTTAACAAAAAGAATGTCTTATCAGATGACTGAATTTTTGTTCACATGCTGTTTCATGATTTTTAAGTGTTCTTTATTCTACGGTCTACTTGTAATGGTTATGCAATAATTTAAGCATAGACCTCATTGAAGAACGAAACAATTTACTTTTACTTCGAGCTGGTTTTCTTCTATAAACTGATGTTTATTAAAATACAAAATTTAAAACCACTATACAATACCCTACTTTTATTATACATAATCAAACACATTACTATGCTGTTTAGATCTGATCATTCTCTACTATGTGTGGCGTGACCTTGAGAAACGCTGTTATCGATCTTTTATCTAGATTAACATGACGCCATGCTAGGGTAATACATAAGTTGCCGTTTAAAAACTACTTGAAGCTACTTATAAGTTAGGGTTATCCTTCATCAAACATTTAAAATAACTTTAATAGACTGAACTTGCCATGTTCTTTGTATGGTTTAAGGCCGTCAACATTACTCACTTTGATAACCCATTTTTGCGATTGAGGATCTTTAATTTCCCATTTTACCTATAATTTATCAACTTTATAAACTACCTTCTAATTATTTCACAGAATTATGTACAGGCTAAAGCCAAGTTAATTGATCAGTATTATGAATGGGTGAAATAGTTAAAAATTTAAAACCCTATTATTATCATTAAAATCTTTTTGTAAATAAATAGCTCAGTACATCGTTTGACCAAGTTTTGTAATTCACTTATATTAATGACATTCTGTACAACTTTACTTTTTCTTTTCAACTGAACTCAACACCAAAAATGAAGCCTTCTATTTCTTCAACGTCATATTTTGTTGTGATATAAAGTTCAATTTACACTTTAAAACAATATTTCCCTCTAAAATAAACTTTATTGTATGTTCTTATTCTATTATATTGTTAAACATTTCCAGGTCAAGATGGTTAAATATTAAAAAAAGAAATAATTAATATGTGAATAATATTCCGGAAATTCATAGTTAATAGTCATTTCAATGTTCAATAAAATGTTCTATTTGTTCATATATATGTATAGGTTTGTTTATTTTGTCATAAGAACTTGAAGAATAATTCACTACAGTATGAGTATTTATGACTTTTAATTTTGTGAAGAAACATTTCTTAAAACAAATATTTTACTTTGAATTTTAAGTAATATTAAAGACTGATGATATACACAGATGTCCAAACATGATTCTCATTTTGTTATTCTAAAGTAAATCCATGTTCCAAGAAATGTGTGAAGATCACTTTGAATGTTATAGTGAAATATAAAGATAAATGAAGGTAGTTAGGTTGAATGGAATTTTTGTAAACTCATTAAATGTGAACTATGCCTGAAAATTATCATTTCATTGGATCTTTCTTTTTGAATGCCTTCATAAATAAATATTAATAGTTGAAATCATGAGTCACTTAAAGCTAGACCACTACCGAAAACCTGGAATCATTGGACGGCCGTTTCGTCCAAGTATGGGACTCCTCAACAGTGCGCATCCACGACCCCGTGCTCCGCGAAATTCGAACCAAGGACCTATCAGTCGTGAATGTGCACTGCTGAGGAGTCCCATATTAGAACGAAACGGCTGTCCAGTGCTTCCAGGTTTCCATGGTGGTCTAGCTTCAATTGACTCATGATTTAAAGTATTGAAAGTTATTTTTGTTCAAGATTAAATAATCAAGATTTATCGTATAGTTGAAATTGAGCGCAACAATTGTTTGTTTGTTTTTCATTTTAATCTACGACTGTTGACGAATATTGATGATGAATTCACGAAATTTACTAAATTCGAATGAGTCTGATAGTTTCTAAAATATGAGTTTTGACCTCTTTAAAATGAACAAATCATATTACCTGAAATATTGCTCATGATAGTATATATTATTTATCATAATTATCTATACTATTTGTTACGCAAACATCACTATAAGTAATTACACTATATATTTTGTTTATCTGGTTAAAAGCTTTACTATTTAGATTCAAAAAAATAGGTCTTACCAAAATTTTTAATCTATGTAATTATCTCATCTACTACTTAATAGATATTAACCTCCCATTTCACTATTTTATAATTTTTACGCAATTTAAAGAACTATAAGTAATCAATATTAATCACTGATCTGAAGTTTAAGATCTTTGTCTTATTTATCCAGATCTTAACGTTGTTGAAAACATAAGGGAACAGTGGTACCTATTAAAGGAGTATTTCATATTGATAATGATATCAAATTTCTGTTATTGTTAAGAAAACTCGATACAGTTTGTGATTCCAGCTTACATGTGTTTATAGGTGTTGGGATTACCTTGATTTTATGTTATGATCTGTTAAAGGTCTTAATAATAGCTATTATTTAAGCCTTTTACACTTCACCGACTAGTTCTTACACTTTCCCGGTGGTTATTTTATTTCGTGAAATACTATACACACTCTAACGTTAACTCATTTAATTTTCTTTTCTTGAGAGATTAAATACCCTCTTGAAGATCGCATCTCATCTCTGCTTATTTGTGTGCGTTTGTTGTCATTAAAATTTTATATATTAGCTGTTCAATCTATTTAATTGCGTCGATTCATTTTCATTTAAGAAGTGCATCCAACTACTTATTTTGAACCGAAAGAAATATACAAACATGACAATAGCTCATCTTGTGGTGTGAGCTACTTATATCTACATAACTAGTATATAATGACTGTCAGGAATAGAATGTATTTCAGTAGACGATCGAGAAGAAAAGAACGAGAACGGAAAGCAGTTGGTATGAAAATGCACAAACAATGAAATCTAAGACGATGAACTGAGATTTGCAAAAGAAACAATGAAGTTTAAGACAATCGGTTGATATTTTGTAAATTAACTATTTACTTTATGGTACTTAGATGTTAGTGAGATGTTCTGTAATTTCGTGTACCAGATATATTTGAATGCTCCCACTCGTGTTCCTGTTCACTACAATCTACCAACTTTAAAAGGTAATGATTATTTCATCTTATAATATAATACTTCGTACTTAGGATATATATATATATATATATATATATATATATATATATATATATATCCCTTAACATATTTCTATTTAGGCAATTTGATCTCCCTATCATTACTTGATCCCTTTTGTTAACATAATCAGGGATAACTACCAAACACAAACATAAAATCAAAAGTGCAACATTTTTTACAACAACAACAACAAATATTTTGTATGAAGAAAATCTAAACTAAAGTTTATTTATTGTTTTACTTGAATTTTCCCATTGATGTTTTGGACTGAAATTGATCAGTCTTCAACCCATTGCACAAGCAAGTGGCTATCAGGACTCAGTAGCTAAGTGGATAACGCGATGGCGTTTGAAACGAACGGTACTGAGTTCGAGTCCCAGAGTGAATATCAACTCTGAGATGCAGGTACATCCAGCTGACGAGTCCCAAACAGGACGAAACGCGCGTCCTGGATTCCACTGCTAGCCACTATCCATCTTTGCTTATAAAGTTTATTTAGTTTAACTAATAGAGAACTATGAATGAATTTATATTCAATGAAAAGGAGATTATCATTGATAGGAATGAACATTAAACAGGAAATAATTGCCTAAGTGAAAAACTATAAATTGATGTTTATTTAATTTTATTTCATTCTAATATGAATGATAAATATAGAACAGAGAAATTGTCCCTAACTCATAGCTATTACTCATAAGTAATAATTGTTTTACTATTTTTTTCTAGAAAAAGCTTCACTCTCTCTCTCTGTTTCTATGTAAAAATAGTAAATTTATTGAGATAAGTAAATTTGTTAGTATGTTTGTTTTTCTTTCTTTCGTTTGATTTTTTTTCGCTTACCAAAAATGAAGTTTGTTGATTTGGTTAAATGGATTTTTCGTGTTTATGATGAGTTCGGAAGAAACAAGAAAAAAAATCGGAGAGTAAATAGGTGATGACAGTTAGACTGGAATAATGATTTAAAAATGTTAATGGATTGAGTAAAAGAAAAGAAATTGTCTATAAGTTATTTTCTGTATTAAATATCTATCGACTTTAAGAAAGTTGAAGAAACTAAAACGAAGTTATACTCTCGTGTGTATGTGGGGGGGGGGTAGTTCGTTGAAATATATGAAAAATCAGTGAATGAAATTTACGGATTCTGTATACTAGTTTGTAAAGGTGAAATATTCAACTAAGTTTTAATTTGCACAACTCGCTGAATTAATCTTGTAGTCTTCGGTTATTTTTATTTTTTATTTAAGCTCAGCAGATAACATTTGTTCATAATTGAAAATTATATGTTTCTATAATAGACCTTTAAAAAGCTGTGCAATCGTAAGTAATTATAATACGCAAAGTAGTTTACACCAATGTGGTGTAAAAAGCTTATTTGAACATTAACATAAAATACAATCTATAGAATAGTAATCAATTTCTGCGAGTTAGTTAATCGAGAAAAGTATGCCTCATAGTCTATATATC